CCAAGGGTTGTCACAGTGTGCTCCTGCTGTCAGTGATCGGTCATTGAACCTGTCACTGATGATAACGTGCTTGGGATGTATCAGAAACATGCCCTTCGTTCGCCCTTCCAGAATTCAAACTCATTAGGGAAGAATGACATTTAAATTGATATTTATGAATAAGATAATTTCCTGACCAGAAGCAATGTTTGGTTAGCTATTTTCTTTAAGCTTCAGGAGGATAAGCCTGTGTTTATAATTAATTTTCCTTACTCGCGATATTTTTTCTTACCTTCACTGATTAATTTCTCCAACTGATCCATTTGGAGTACAACATTAATATTGAAAATAGAATTATGAAGGTAGGGAAGGAAAAATATTTGATGTCCTTCTGGCAAAACAAGCGTATACGTTTATCTAATGTAGCTATATATGAAAAGTGAAGTTGATTTGGCATGAAACATCTGAGATGCGACATATATTATTAACTAAGTTTTGTGTATTAAGTTCAAAAAAGAAAGATAAAAAACCTTTGGTAACATGTCTGACACAGACACTGAAGTATTAAATCTGGAGCTCATTCATGCAGCTCTTGCAGAGAGCTAAGTGGAGCTGAAGCCAGAAGCCTTTGTGAAGAGCAGCAGTAAGGCTTCCCCCGCGGGGCTCTCCTTTGGGTGAGGGAAGTCTCTGTGCTAGAAAACCGGCACACCACCCTCCACTATGGCTCCTATTGTTTCCATCCAGCTGCCATTCTCTCGCTCCAAGCCTCAATTTATTAGTTTGTATTGATTTATTAATTCTAATTCATTAATTTTGTCATAGACAAATGCAAAAATAGAGAACAGTTACAGTATCAGAAAGCTTGAAAATCTTTTGCAATGTTACATTACCATTTCACAATTAAGGTAACAAAGCCTCAGGCGATGAAAAAAAATGCAACCTAACTAAGTGCTTAAAAACTATAACAAATGGCTGATATTTAATGAGAATTATAAAACTAAAAATAGAGGAGAACACTGAGCTGACAAGGGAGCAAAATATCATAACTTTTAAGATTTGTTTGTCTGGCTTTATTGCCAGTTAACTTTTTTTCCATTTACCTTGTTGCTTTTCAGTAACATATGCTTTATTACTGAATTTTCCAGGAGACCAATAAAGGAAAAAGAAAGGTGAAGTTTACAGAATTTACATATTCTGAAATCTTGCCTCATCAAATAAATCTATCCAAAAACATTCAGTTCTGGAAATCTTAGGATTCAAGGCAGTCTTCTAGCATGTAATGACAAACTAATTTTTTCAAGAGTTTCTGTTTTTTATCTTAGGTTTTTTTTTATTTTTAAAGCATTTGAAAAATCATTAATTTAGCATTAAGATAGTTTCATACAAAGCTTGACATTTGATTGTTTAGCTGCTCTTCAGGTAATAAGACAAAGAAAAAGGGAAGAACCTTTAAAGAAGTGTTTTTATTATTCCTCAGATACAGAGTTATTTTCCTTAACCTTTACAAACATTTTATTTTAGCAACAAAAAGCAGGAATAGTGTGAACTTCTGGCCTGGAAGCCTTTAAAAAGCTTTCTCTGATCTTAATAAGGCCAGAAAGTTTTCCTTAATGCTGAAAAAAGGGTTAGAAGTAGGCAAATGAAATCCCCACCCCTACCTCTTAAAAACATCCCAAGCATTTACTTCTCTACTTACTTCATAAATTGTTCTGTAGTAGATCAAATGTGGTTTCTATGTGCAGGAATTGTGTTTTTCTTGGTAATGACAACTTTAGGATGGTGAAACATAAGTTTATATTGTAAAACATAAGTAACTGCACATCCACCGTTTTCTGAGGAATGCTGTCCTGGTGCTGGGCTGTCCACAGCAGAAGAAAATAGGGCAATCCGGTTACGCCGGCGGAGGGAAAATTTCCAAAAGACGTGGTCTTTAATAACCCCTCTGGTCTGGACCAGGATTTGTCTGTTAAGAGCATCCCACCTGCAGCTCTTCGTGTTTACATCTTAAAAGAGCTAAGCGAAATGTTTAACTAGGACTAATTCATCCTTTGAATTTCATGACCTTTTGTGCACAGATGCTTCAAATGAAGAGTACACTTCATTCATGTATGGTTTTTCCTCTGCAAACAGTTAATGACTGCATGTTGCGAATATCAAAACTCTGCTTTTCACTTTAGCTTGGCTAGTTATCCCAGTCACATTATATTTGTTCCTGTAGCAAAACAGGGTGGAATGCACTGAGGATGTGCTTGCAATCAAAAAATACGAATACAAATAAAATGTTGATGTATATTTTCACTTGAAGTAATCTGAAGAAAACATTAGTATTTGGTAAAAGCTCAGAAAAATCCAAATGAGTCCTGAACTTTTCTCCAAAGTATTATTTAGGAAAATTTGTTCTAGTATTTTCTCAGTTCTAACCTGAGTTCTCTACTTTGTTCTTATTTTGTACTGGGGCTTAGCAAGAATATGGCTCCCAGATAACTACAATGCCAACTTAGGAGTCTAAATCAAAGTTTGTGGCATTTTTGAGAGAAGAAATAGTACAGGGTACCTAAAGAAGCATTATATAATGGGCTTCTGGGAGTTAGCTTCCTTAGACATCATAAGCAGCAATAGCTGATGTTTATGGCTAAGTAGAGCTTTGCAGCAAGCTTTTGTTGGCAGCACAGGGCCAGATGGGATGGCTGTGCAACGGGAGCCTGCCGGTAGGGTAGACCCCTTACTCCCAACAGGAGACAATCGAAGAACACTTCTCACATTTGGCCCCAGTCCACAGTTTTACTTCAAGAAATATAAATAAATAAAATTATGAATTAAATCCATGTAATCTGGCCATTATACCACAAATTATGAATTTACCTAGATACAGAGATTATGAAAGAGCCTCAGTGTTATTGTCAGCTTGGTGCGTTGTCTAACTTACTGAATGAAGAGCCTGACAAGTCAGGTATGGCTGTTGGCAAGAAGGACTTAAAAGCAGCTGCAGTGGTTATCTGATCAAGTATTGTGTGGTTCCTTTCTGCCACAAAGGTTTATTTTTCATTTATTGTCCATTGGCTTTCTCTAACTCAAATGATTAAAGTATTTGACCAACAAAGCAATATTTTTTAAAAATAGTTTGTTTCTCTGGTGAGGAAGATGATATCCCCAGGGTTCCTGGGAGCTTCTTGGGGAGTTTAGTGGATTTGTGATGTACATGAAATGTGAATTCATTTTCTACTGATTAGCAAAGGAGGTGCAATGTGCAGCTCAGTCCTGTAATTGTTGAACAATTGTACTTCAGATGGAATCAATATTGATTTAACCTAAGCTAAGGATGCAGGTTTGGGTTCATCATCATGTAACACTATTTCATTTCCAAATCCATGCAGAGATTAGCAAATCCAATGAATTTGACTAACATAAACATGGTGTTAAATCACAAGGTTAGAATCAAATCTGTAGTTGGTGTTGACATTGGAATCAAGGGCTCTGGAGTTTACTTGATTGTCAATTTACAGATGAAAGGAAAGTTGCATAGTGGTGGGTACCACTGGAATAATATTGTAATTCTCTGTGTTCCAACTGAACACCAGTGGCAAAAGATCATGAGGAGTTGGTGGCAGTGACACCTTACACTTCTCTGTTCTCAGAGCCTACTATTTTGCATGAATCAGAGCATCTGTAAGGCTACTGGTATTTGGTTTAATGAACATCTGTGGGCAATTAAGGATTACTGGAACACAAAAATTTCAGGAGTCCTATTTCCTAGGATTCTGGGATTCTGCTGGCCGCTCAGTGTCATTAAAGGTTTCTGCCAGACCAGGGAATTTCTCTAGTTCCAGGATTGCTAGGCTTTTATAGAAGATTTGCTGCTAGTCTGCTGTATGTTACTCTTGCATCAAACAAGTACGACCGCAGATCATAGCTGTGCTTTATGAAATATAGAGAAATGATATAATGTAATACCTTTTTACTGACACTAAAATGCTAGCTATTGAAATTCAGTCATATGGCATCCCAGGTGGTTGCCTTTGCCATGCCAGTTTTGTTGCATTCCGATTTGAGCATCCTGAATGCTGCGCTGAGGTGATAAACAGCCCGTTGCAGGTCTTTGCTGCTTCAGGTTTTAAAGCAACTTCTTTGGTTGTATTTCCTCCTGGAAGCTAAAACATGTTGAGCACGTGGTGCTGAAAGTCCGTTCAGGATCCCACGCTAGGACCCTTAACCAATGCATTCTCAGAAGATGGTGATGCATTTGCTGAAGACCAGCATTGCTTCCCCAAGTTCTGACCACAGACATAAAATTTTACTAGGTGACGTGCCAAGATGACAGACAGCTTGTAGTTGGTCATACAACTGTTCAAAACACAAATGAGTGGTCCCCTCGCCAGGCTGCCCACAGTAGGTCTCTCAGTGCTGTTCCAGTAGGTCAATAGTCTGGGGCACATACGTGACCCAGGGCTTCCTGCTGGGAAGGGAGGACTTCTTAACCACCAGAACCCCCTGCCAATAGGCTTTGGCACATGAAGCAACTACCTTGGAGTCAGCTAGGCTGTGCGTAGTGTTTTACTGACATGTTCCTTAGAAAAAGCGCTGCAGCTAGATGAGACAGTGGTGGGCTGTCTTGTGATTTCAAGGTGTTGAGCTGCTCCCTGGAATTTTGAGTCCCAGCTCACTTGTTTGCCTGCCATATGTTTTTTTTCTGGGCTGTGCAAGGTGAGCTAAGGGCTTGTGGGATGTGCTGGTCCCTGGTGCGAGCTCCTGCTAGCTGAACCAGAGCCATCGGTTCACCTCCAAGGAGGATGGGATTGACAGCACCAGGGGCTTTTGCAAGTTGAGATTGAGCTGGTGTTTTCTTCAGCATGTGTTTCTCAGCTGGAGATGTTGGGCAGACCTGGAGGTTTTGCATAGGCACAGGTGAAATCGAAGCAATGTAATGAGTCAACAGCAACTCCTGTCACACAGGGGAATGGAGGGGGGCCAGACAGGATTGCAGATTTTGTTTGGACTGATTGTTCTGGTTTCTTCCTCACTAGGACAAAGAAGTGAACTTGGAACAGGTCCACAGACGCATGAACAGTTTAATTGATGAAGACATAGCCCACAAGCAAATCTCTCCAGCGTCCATTGAAATCTCAGCATTGGAGATTGGTGGCATGCAACCAACTCAGACCCTGGAGCCGGTACGCGAATACCAGAACACGCAACTTTCTGTCACCACCTTTTTACCAGAACAGACAACTCATGGTGCCAGCAGGACACTCACAGCTGCCTCCGGCAGCAACCTGCCGCTGCCCCTGAGCAGCTCAGCTACCATGCCCTCCATACAGTGTAAACACAGGTCACCAAATGGAGGACTATTTCGTCAGAGTCCCGTGAAAACCCCGATCCCAATGTCATTTCAGTCTGTGCCAGGGGGAGTCATTGCAGAAGCAATGGAGCCCTCGCATGGAACATCCATATGATGAAAACAAACAGTAAAACAACCAGCAGAGCTTTTTAATACAAAATTTAAAAGAAACAAAAAAACAAAATGAACTCTTATGTTTTTCTTGTATATACCTGTAAATAATGAAAGAATGAAGTGGGGTAAAAGTGTATTTTGAATATTCCCAATTTTCGAAGTCAGTAAAAAACAAAACAAAAAAACAAACAAAAATGTATGAATGACTTTGTAAATTTTGTTCTATATGAATAAAAAGGCAAACTACTTGTGATCGTTCTCAAGTGCCAAAGAAGACCAGTTACTGGGACTGAGGGCCGTACAATTTTTTTCCATGGATTTCAACACTCATTCCCTTACTGTTTGGTTGGGGTTTTTTTTAAGGAGAAGAAAAATTACCCGTTTCTTGCTAGAAAAGTTCGCCAAGCTCAGAACTCTCCTTTTCCCAGAACCGTATTTTATAGTCAAGATGGCAGTTCACTCGGAGAATTTAACAGCTGGTATTAGCATAGCAGTAACAAATGTTTTAAACATGAATTATAACTAAAATCCAACAAAAAATTAAAAAAAAAGAATGAAAGAGAACTTTTTCCTTCTAACAATGATTTAAACTTCCACACAGTTCCTAAGTTTAAGCACAGGATTATTAAATTGTTTTTTTACATGTCTGCTGTGCTGTGTGGCTCTTTTTATTTAACCTTCTGTGTTTTGTTATATATATAATATATATTACATATGTTATATATATGACATATATATTATACATATAAATGCTTTGATAAACAACAGGTTTCAGCTTAATGGGAAAGCTTTGAAGAAAAACTGATCAGCTCTTTTTTTTGTGTCTTGTGTACATGACTAAAAGTGGGGAGGAACCAGTGGCTGAAAGAAGTGACACAAGGAAGAGCTTTAGCGGGCAGGAGAGAAAGGCATTGCAGTGACTGTGCTCTCTGGTGCAGCCTCTTTCTTTAAGATTTCAAGGAATTTGCTGCATAACGGATGCAACGCTCTCTGTTGAAGTCATATCACTGAATGACAAGGCTAAGTTCATGACTGTAAGCACAGCTCTGCTTTTTTCCCATTGATTTTGTAAAGAGAAGAATTTTAATGGCCATGTCTATAATCTTGGTAGAATTGGCTGTAAAATGCCTTTTGTTTGTCTGGGAAACACAATCAGAGGACAAAGATAGAGCAACACGTGTAGCGAATTTAATGTCTTGTTCTGCAAACACTACCAATGGAATTTAATGTGACAAAAAAAATCAAAACCAAAACACATTGTTTCCTTCCCAAATAGTAGTTCGAATGCCCAAGATAACTGATCCCTGTGCCCGCCCCCTGCTCACTGTTGCTTAGTGGACCGTCACTATCTTTCAGAATTGCGATAATTTAGTGTCTTCTCAAATGTGTCCCTATAGCTAGGTTGTATTTTTCCTTTGTAGCTGCATTTCCTCACTTTATTAGAACATTGCTATTTGGAAAAGGCTGTAGATCTCGGTGCAGCAAAGTCACTGCCTACATTAAGGTGAAAAATTATGTTTGAACAGGGGTAAAAATGTATTCACATATCCCAAGAAAGTCAGCAGGCAATCTGGGTCAGGTTTTTGGATAAATAAACATTCCATTGACTGCTCCTAGTTTAATTTCCCTAATTACACAACAGGTATATTTATGAGATGATAAAAGTCCCCAAATTTTTACATTTCTGGTTTAAGCTGTAGGGAAGAAAAGTCAAACTGTGATATGAAAACAGCCTAATGGAAGAGCATACTCAGCATACTACTTATTAAAAGAGGAATGTTGATGGTGAGCTTACAGAAGGAATACTCTTTTAGGGATTAATTTGTCCCTGTTGTCAATCATGAAGATGATTTTGCAGATTGGCACAAATTGCACTATTTGCTTCAAACTAATTAAAAATGAATAATGCTTTAGTCAGCTGACTAGATTTATCCTATTTAGAGACTTGGCCCACACAAGCTTGGGATTTTTTTCTTTTGTCATACTTTTTCTCATCATTATCTTAAAATAACCTATGGCTGCAGGAAAAAATAGCCATTTCTTCCCCTGATTTTTTCCCCACCTACCATACATACACCAATTAGTTATGGCAGAAATGGCCACACAAAAAGACTGTGCACACCTAGATATCTGTAAAGATGCTTAGGAGAGAGAATGCAACTATTTGCATTGGAAAAATTCCTCACTCGTATTACCAATTTAAGATTTTAGGAGCTGCAGAGGAACATACTTCAGAAGAGGTGTAAGGAGATGTTTGTGCAGCTACGAGGGTGCGACCTGTAAGTTAGGGCTTGGCTGGAGCAGGTACTCCCTCCCCAGCGGTACTGGAACAAGGAAGCCATCCCACCTCATCTCGAGCATCCTCCAGAGCACGGGAGGGTGAGCAGCTCACTTGGCCACCTCGACAGCATGAGGCAAATGCCCAGCCACGTCCTCCCTTCCTGATGGTGAAGAGCTGTTGTGAGCTGCTGGTGACAACAGCGTAGCCACTGCTGCTGGCTCTGCACCAATGTCATAGCAAACAAGCTTGTCAGAGGTGGTGTGAGCTGCTCCCTTGCCGGTTCCCCACAAAGCAGGCTATTTATTAGCTGTAGAAAAGCTCAGAGGAGGGGATTGAAACTCTCCTTTACTGAGGCATTATTGCTTTCACAAAACGTATTAGATCGTTTCAATATTATAATCTAAACCACTGTACCAAATATTTTAAACTCAACTGCATTTGTAGGATAAATTGTGAATACAATATATTTGGGGGATTAACATTCTCTGTATTCAATGTTCTCCTCCTGGCTTAGTCTTGCCACATGCTGTAAAGTTTGGAAGTGGGGTTTAACTTATAAACAATGTCGGATCTCACTGATTCTTATGTATAGAATATGACTCACCTGTTTGAATGCTCTACAGGATTACATCTAAGATGATCAGAATCTTGAAAAATCAAACCACATAGTCCTCACTCAGAAAAGCATTTAAGCATGTGTGTGAGCCCTATAGAAAGCAACTGCTTTATGCACAGGTTGAAGTGGTTTGCTGATTAATGATGGAGTTAAAATGCACGTCTCAAATTAAATATATGGCGAATTTTAAGCAGATGAGTGAGCTTACCAAACTCCCTGGGACTGTTCAGTTGCTTAAAGTTAACCATCTTGAGTGCTTTGCTGCACCAGGGTCTATACTGTAAAAGTAGGAATCCACAGTGGATCCGTCATTGCCTAGTAATTATTTGTTTATATAAAAGTTAGCAAGTCATAGCTTGAGCCCTTCAACCATGACAGGAAGCTGTTAAACCTTTCATGTGATGGTGGTTTGGTTTTAGATTATTTAAGCAAGTCACCACGTTCTCCTTGAACATAAACAATGTTTCTTTCCCCATAAATTTCAGTTTTCAAAGTAAATGCAGAATGTATTATTTACATATTCTGTCTCCTGTTTTATATTTATATCTTCATTTTGACAGATCACATTATTCACTTTCTACATAATATGTATTCACCACACACTCATGCATATATGTATACATGCAGTTACTCACAGAAGAAGTGAGAAATATAATTTCCATGTGGTGTAAATGAGCAGAAGCTCAAAGCTCTCACAGAGCTGTGCTTATTTACAGCACCTGCAGATTTGACCCTTCACTTTTAATAGCTGACAAGATGAAGTAGAAAAACTGCAGAAGTTCCTGAAAACTTTGAAGACCAAACTGTGCCCTTGATTTTCAAACAGAACTTTCCCCGAGTGTGCTTAAAAAAGGGAATAATGTGTGATCCCAAATATTCCTGCTCCTCCAAGATGTTTACATTGCAAAGGTGGTTGCAAATGAGACGGAAATTGAGTGCCTATACCTTCCTTTTATCGTGCTCTTTTGCTGATGAACTTTCGCGAAAGTGATATCTGTGGCCCAGCACTTGTAGTGCATCTTGTTCTATTGATCCATTAGTTTAGAAATGACTTTATTTTCATACAAAAATGTGACTCCGTTTCTTCTATTTGCTTGCAATCCACGGGCAATCTGCTTGCAATCTGAAGAATGCATTGCTCTTATTTCTTAGTATGTCATGTTTTCCTATTGCAATGGAAATAGAGTAACTGTGCTTTTTAATTTCAGAGTTGAAACTTGATAGAACATTTTTATGCTGAGTTACAACTACACGTGTGCAATACTTGTCTTGCAAAGTGAAACTCCCAATATCTGCCTTGCTTTGATAACCATTGCTGCACTGTAGATGAAGTCTCAGCAAAACAACTCGCTTTCTCTTAGTCTGCTGATAGAATAAAACACTTAAACCTGGGTTCTCATCTGTGTAAATCAACATCCCTTCAGTGAAAGGGTGAACCGTACAGAGTTTCAGTAGGTGAGGATTTGGCTCTTAATATTGGGCTTGAGAGCCCTACTTCCCATAAGCTTATATTCAACAATATCTTCTGAAAAGGAAAATGCTTTGACAGGCTCAAAAATGAAATGGAATGAGGTACATTTATTACTATTTTGAGCACTTGGCATGGCTTTGAGTTTAGACTGTATGCTGAAATAGCTTAGAGAACACCTGTTTTCTTAAAATCTGTTAAGTTTAGGTATACCTATCCTTTAAGAAAGGTTAAAAGCTGTTGGCTTGCTGGCAAGTGGAGCGTTCTTTTCAGAGGAAATCATGTTACTGGGCAGTACAGCACCTGCAGTGCTCAGACCTTTTTATTGTATTTTAAATTGCTTTGCTGACTTGAACTTATGTTGTGAGCAGCTAAAGAATAACATAGATCTAAACACAACACATTTGGGGAACCCTGTTGGAAATTTCCCAAAGAATCCACATCGTTTGGCAACCCTGGGAAAGGCAAGGAGAAAGTTAGAAGAAAACTCTGAAGAGAAGCAAAATTCAAGGTAAAAATAAACACGTGGTGAAGGGGGAGGGAGAAAAGGGTAGTTACAACTCATACGTCCAGCAAAGCTGTATCACTTGTATGAGAAACCTAGATTCCATCATACAAGCAGTTGCCTCAGTGAAT